CCCCAAACTAAAATACCATATGTCATAACAGACTGAAATATAGCATGGTACAAAGTTTTCAGATTATTATCTGAGATACTCTGGGAGAGATTACGAAGGACAAAGAGAGCCCCGCTAAGCTTTGATGAAACTTGATCAATTTGCGCGTTTCATCTCAGAGTGGGGTCAATGAGCACTCCAAGAAATCCGATCTTCCCTTTTTCATTAATACGTTTGGAGTCTGAGGGAGAAAATCAATACCTCTGTTTTGTCTTCATTTCAAGAGCAGCTTATTAGCATTAAACCAGTCCCTCACTCTATCCTGAGTGGCTTCAAGCTGTGAGACTGCCTGATCAACCGATCCCGCTGACATAGAGACTGTGGTGTCATTCGCAAAAAGGGTGTATTTTTCTTGATCACTGTTGAAAGGGAGATCATTTACATAGATTAAAAATAGGATCGGCCACTAGACAGACCCTTGGGACACACCTATATTTACAACCCTTTCCGCAGAACACACCCCATCCACCCTGACAGTTTGGGATCTGTTTTCCAGATAAGAATTATAGTGTACTAGCTTGCTCAGCAAGATTTCATGGAAAATACAGTCAAATGCCTTACTCAAGTCACAGAAAAAGCACAGCACTAAATTGAAGATCGTCAAAAGAATCCAGAATATCGGCAATGAGATTCAATATACTCTTCTCAATGTAGTACATCTACCCGCTCGAATACCAAACTGGCATTCAGTTAAGCATCGGTTCTCCTCGAAGAACTTCACCAATCTCAAAGCCATGCATCTTTCCACAATCTTAGACAATATCGGCAGAAATGAGATGGGCCTGTAATTTGTGGCTTCATTTTTGTCACCCTTTTTAAAGACAGGTACGACAAGAGCTTTTCCAGAATATCAGGAAAAACATTCGGGCGAAAACAGGAATTAATTAATCTGGTTAGGGGAATGATAATAATATTCTTAATGAATTTGATCAATTTGATGCTCAAACCAAAGATATCACTGCTGGTCTTATTTTTAATGTTATCTATGATATCCCTAACTTCACTGCAGGATACAGGAGAAAAGTTGAAAATATTAGGTGGAGAAATCATGTGGTTTAGGTAGTGGTAGTGTAAAGGACCAAGCTCGCTCGGACCAATCTTGCTAGTGAGATCAATGTTGCAAAAGTATTTATAGGTAACTTATGTTGCTTATGAAAATCCGGAATATACAGTAAATTCTGATCAAATAAAATGAGGCATTTTGATAAAATTTCCAAATGTAACCAAACAAAGCTAATTTTAGTATCATTTCCCATTATAATTTGGCCAAAAAATTAATCTTTATTATATTTCAAGGACGATGGTAGTGAAGAAGGAGTCGCCGCAGGATCGAGGTCAGGTTCTCCGCCCATAACAAGTCAGCCGTCGCCCAAAACGGCCCCCGCTCCCAACCAGGTGTTTGCCATGCCTCCGCCGTCAGGTGCCGGAGAGAGCGAGGCCCTTAACCAAGGTGATGTACCAATTTATACTCCGGGTGAGTGAAATTAATGACGAAAGTTTTCAATGAACTAATGTCTGAATCTTTTTTGTTGAGTTTGTTTCTACAGGGGCAGATTCTTATCTTTCTACTCAGCCTTTTACAATTTATTAAACGATATGTTTGAGTTGACAGATGAGAATCTGGTTTTTGATAATAATTGTTGGTTTAGCTGATTTTTTAGTACGCTTGTATGTATATTGTCTCTAACAAAATCATTTGATGGTTATTATTCTAGGCTCTAAAAGTAAATTGTAATGTTGAAACTAACACTAGTAATATCTTGTGTTTGCTAAACTAACTGGCATTTCAATTCACATATTTGCTATTTCATTTATTCAAAAAATTGGGTTTCAGACAGTTATTGAAAAATGACAAGGAACTGCTGCCATTTTTCTTCAGCTGTTAGATTTTTAACAATAATTAATATTTGTTTCACCTACTCTGCATAATATAATGTTTTAATGTACACTACACAGCTTATCGCTTAACGAAATCATCTACAATCAAGCCTCTCTCTTTGTCTGTTTCTAGATTTAAAGTAAGATGATCGTCGACGTACATTTTCAATTGCAGATATGCGCGGCCAAGCCAAGTGGTGAACTGAACGAATCTATACGAGGCACTCATTAAATTCGATTAGGACTTTATTATTAACATAAGCAAAATAATATGAATTAATGAAATCAATCACCCCTTTGCCTAGTCAACGTTTATTGTGTATACATAATTAGTTAATTATTATTATTATTATTATTGTATACCTAATTAAATGAGGATGAGATTTTTGTTGATTGGAAATGCAAATGGGAAAGTAGTATTTACCCAAATTGATTTAAGTTGCATTTATTATGTAAACCCTAGTATTAAATTTAATGTAACTTGAGGCTCAGTTGTATTTCCTATCAACGTTTAGATTTTTTAAGTTGTTTTGTCCGTGTATAAAATTTAATTTTAGATTTTGGGCCGTTGAAGCGGTGGCGACGGCCTGTACAGCAGTGTTTAGGAACCAATTATTATAATATTAAAAAAACAAAACAAAACTGTATAGCTTTTTAGATTTTTCGATTTTTATCTGTGGTATAACAATTAATTATTACTATGTATTTATCTTGTTTTGGTATTTTAGTGATAGTTGTTACATGACAACGCATATGCTAACGTATCAGAAGGGTAATCTTTTTTTTTATTAATTTATTGTACTAATTAGAAAAGCACGTTATAAAATATTCAAAATGTAATACACGAAATAAATTTAATAAATATTGTGTTAAGGAAATTAAATTTATTTTGATTTGGCATTAACAAGGACGGATACCAAAGTATTAAGGATTCTTTAACAATTAAAATCAATTGAGGAAACGTAACTTTGCAAAATCAGTATCAATAGAAACACTTGAAAAAATTGTCTCAAGTGTTTTTGAATCACTAAACAAAAATGTTATTTGACTGGGGTAGACATTGCCGAGTTTTTGTATGAATGAGTTTTCTTAAGACATAATTCTAATTTTCAACATATGATCAGACAGAGAAAGAGTTGTTAGAACATTTTTCAGATGGAAAAGTCACAGTGCAAAGTTGAGTCTACAAATTCACTGCCATTACCTCAAAGTCGCATCACTTCTCGATATTACTAGATTATGCATACTACAACCTCATAGAATAAGGTAAGATTTGTACGCCTAAAGTTGTACTGTGGCTTTTTCCTCTACCAAGGTAAAGGACTAAAGTGGATTTTTGAATTCAACATTAAATTCACTGAAAAATCTTTTGTGGTACATGAAGTATTCGTGGAGCACGTCTCTTGTTAAAAATTGTCTTGAACCTTGACAGGTATAATGTAATTAGATTTTAATTAAGTAGCCACCTAATTATTTTTCTACCAAGATGAGAAATTCAATTAAACTTCTACATAACTTTCAGCTTTAAGCTTGATTTACCAATAGCAGCTATTATTACGGGCTAACTTTTTTCAGTCAAATCTAATATTCCTTGAGCTTTAAATTATGTTATAACTACTACATTGACTTTTTGCTTTGCACTATTATAATAATAATGATTCGATTTCATAAATATATTTGACATTAAATAGCTCGGATCATTTTGGATGAGATCTTGAAGCAAACATTAGAAATGACATTCATATAAAACTTTGTGTGAAGACTTTTGTAAGATTTGCTTTTAAAATTCATATATCATATTACATGCGTGGTCAGATTGCTGAGAAATCCACAAAAAAAATCATATTCATAAAAATAGGCTCTAGGTAGCACTAAAAGATTATTTGTAAATAATAAAACATGAAATTGAAAAATATACAACATAATATAGTTATTGCCACTAGATTTTTAGTGTTACCTTTATGCAATCATATCGAAAATAATTACTAACTTATATGTGTGACAATTGTTGTTTAAATTTAATAATATTGTGACTATTTTCAACGAAATAATATTTATTATTGTAAAAAGAAGTGTATCTCATTCCACTCAAATTTATTGTATTTATTGGATGTTTCCCTTGTTAAATATTTGTAACTATTTAGATGATAATTTAAATTTTACCATACTTATTGAATGAATTAATTATAGCGAGTACATGTGCGTATTTAAAAAAATATTAATAAATAAAGATTATACCTAATTAATTAGCTTTTTTCTAATTTACTAGGACTTTGTGACCCATCCTGTGTCTTTTGTCGTTTCCAAAATCCTTGTGTGACTTGGGTATACTGATATTTTCAATAAAAACCAAGATAATTTCTTTTGCTTTATAGCTGGAGCTCTTTTGTCGCAGCTTGGACGTCGGGATCAATCCCCTAGACTATTTGACAGACAAGAATGTCTCAAATTCCTACTTCTTGGCACAAGTCGATGTTCCTGAGATCAAAAATAACCTTCAAGAACAAAAATTCCTCTGGCTACGATGACATATCCATTAAACTATTACCTGCTCCATCTTAACGATAGAGGTTTTTGGTGCGCTCCATAAGCTTGAAGTTTTAGAGGTGTGACTCTGAAATGGTTCCAGTCGTACTTAAGTGATCGTCAGTAGGTAGTTTCTTAAAGTGTTTTTGGATAAAATAAGCCACAACTGCCTCGGGGCTCTATCCTTGGCATGTTTTATAAAAACCTGGTGCGACAGCAACAATCTATCCTTCAACAACCAAGACCAATACTTCAAGTGCTTATTATTCAATGTCTCCTTATGTGGTGATTTTATTCATCCCTCCGCCTATACTAAGTGTCTTGGGGTTACAGTGGACGAGAGTCTAAAGTTTGAGCAGCATATTGAGGCTCTCTAGTAGCTTATCATCTAGCTGTTATGTATACCCCATAGTTCACGGTCCACCATACAAGAATTTACCAATCTATTTTGATTCCCCATGAACACCACCCCCGTCGAGGATTTCAAAATGAAAATCTCATTGAAAGTTTATTGATTTTTTTTTTTGTTTTTCAATAAAAATATCTAAAAGTAATGTATCATTAAATCGATTTCCTAGGGCATATCAATGAAACGTCATATATACAAAAAAAATATTAATTCTAACTGAAAACAATTCTGGTAAACAAAAATGTTACTAATATGAAATAAAAATAATTCTAATAAGACAAGACATTTGAAACAATGTTCCTGATGATTATTATTAACAAAAACAAGGAATCTTGTAATTACTATAAAAATTTGGCTAAAATGTTTAAAACTGAAAAAATTTCTGGTCACAATCATAAATACTAATTATTGATACCTAGAATTATATTTATTTAAAAGGAAGCATAATTTTATTGCAATTGGACCTGTAGCTCTGCAATCTCCTCCATTTCCTCGCCCATATCATCGTCAACCTCTTCATATTTTCCTTCAAACTTTGCCTCTAATAATTCTTCCTGTTCTCTGTTAAAAAAAAAATATATCTTACATTAATTTATTTTCAAAATAGGACAAAAATTTAGAAAATTGTATAATGAACTCACACATCATCCTGAGCAATGGCATCTGCTGACACATCTAAAGATACACCCTCAGCCTGACCCTGAGTCATCGGTTTCGTCCTACCGTATTTTTCGTGGATATTCCTGTGTCTTTTTAGGGCAAATCTGATGAAAAAAACAGAAATTTATTCATGTATCAACAAAAATCAACACAAAAATGAATTACCTGTCTGAAAATCCTACAGTACAAATATCACATTTGAATGGTTTTTCTCCAGAGTGCACTTTCTGATGGTTCTTCAAATGTGTCGCCTGATTGAAACACGAACTGCAAATGTCACACCTGAAAATTCAGTGAATAAATTTGATTTTCTAGCCCGAAGAACAGTAAGTTCTTTTTTATCCTGAATAAAAGAGTATTAGTAATATAAATTAGTATTGTTTCTATACCTGTATGGTTTTTCGCCTGTATGGATCCTCCTGTGATTCCACAAGGTTGAATGTCTGGCAAACGATTTGTCGCAAACTTCACAAACGTATGGCCGCTCGCCCGAATGTATCCGTTCGTGATTTTTCAAGTGAGGCGACTGTGAAAATTGCATACCGCATACACCACACCTGAAAACAAATTTTGTAAAATTGTTCCAACACACAAAAAACTAGTTCTTACCGATAAGGTTTTTCTCCAGTGTGTATCCGAGAGTGATTCTTTAGGTAGGCTGCTTTGGCGAATGCCAAACCGCAAATATTGCACTTGAAGTTTTTCTCTCCGGAATGCAATCTTTTGTGCGACCACAATGATGAGTATCTGCTAAAAGAGCCTAAAACATCCACATATATTTTTGCACACTTAAGTATCGACGCATTTTACCATTGCAAATATTACAATGAAATGGTTTATCGGCACTGTTCTGCTGATTTTTCGTGCCTCCAATAAATATAATACCGCTTCCGTTGCATTTGGTACATTTTGTAACACTAGCGACTCCTCGTTTTTTAACTGGATGATTGTTTTTAATACCGATTGGGATTGAATTTTGTGTGCCTGAAATAACTGTAGTTTATTTAAAATGTCATTATTTGTTGCGCTAGGTTAATTACCAAGACCTGAAGGGTTTTGAGCATCCGTTCCCGTTTCTTCAAATTTCACTTGTGTAGCCTCATCAGGTGAAGCGGCCACTACAAATATTTGAGGCTGTATTGCTTCTGCACTGAGACAGTTTTCACACTTGACCTAAGAACAAAATTATTAATAAATCAAAAATTTAAACTAAAACGAGTTATTCACTTTCATAACAGCCCGTTTCTTGTTAGTATCTTGTGGCAAAGGAGCACCACAAGTCTCACAATTCTTAATTTTCAGAGTATTAACTTGCTGCACAGTTTGTTGTTGTTGCGCCTGAGTTTGGACTTGCTGTTGCTGCTGCGCCTGCTGGTGATTTTGTATCTTGTGCGTTTTCAATTCGCCCTGAGTGGCAAATGTCATTCCGCATTCTTCGCACGAAAACCTTATCCGATCTGCAGATACTATTTGAATTTGTGTCGGTTGTTGAGCTTGTTGAACTTGAGTAGGCATCAGCTAGAAGATTTTTAATAAGATAATGTTAAAAATGTGAAGTTTCTGGTTACTTGGACAGTGATTTGTTGTTGCTGGGCCTGTTGCTGATCAGTCTGTCCGTGGTTTACTTTTTTGTGGTGGTTTAGAAGATTTATATGAGCAAACATCAGTCCGCAAACGTCACATTTAAAAGTAATGTTTGATATAGCGTTTTGGGTTAGCAGATTTTGATTAACCTATAAGAAAAAATTTAAGAAAAAGCAAGAAAATAGCTTAAATACTTACAAGAGTATAGTTATAGCTGAAAGCTGGTTGAGTAATGTAGCATTTGTCATCAGTTAACTGCGACATGTTGATGGTGGAATGTTGAGTTTGGGGTGCGATTTTCTGGATCATGTTGACGTTGGCGTAACAGAAAGGGGCGAAATCTTGCTTTTGCTCCTGGCCGTTTTTGTCTTTTTCCGGCGGCTGTTGTTGGTACTGGATTTGGGTCTGTTGCGTTGTGGTCGTTATGACGTTGGGATCAAACATCTTGGGTTACTGGATGCAAAACAAAATTGAAATTATGATAAGAAATCATATCCAGATGGTTGGTTTATTTCAACCAGGTTAAGGACATTGATAAAAACTTTAAAAGGCTTCTAATGAAGTTGACTGAAGAAAAAGAGAGTTTGTAGGAATTCCAATATCCAAAAAAAACATTACCTATACTAAGGCTTATTCATGAAAGAAATCGTTCCTCATCATCTGAGAAAAATTTTGAAAAGCGATTTTTGATTTCTTATACAAGAAGCTTTAATTCGTAGTTTTTGCAATTTTGAACCCATTCTCAAGTCAAGAACATTTTTGAAAAAAGTGTCACGTTTCTAAGACGAAGAAACAATTGTCATGGTCTTGGTCTATAACTGAAAAATTATCATTGCTCCAGCATCTCAAAAATTTGTGGACTTAGTAAAAAATGCATTCTAATGCATAATTTGAAAGAAATATTGATTTGCCTTGCAAGTCTTTATGAAAGATGCTTCAATTTATAGTTTCTGCAAATTTGAGATTGTTCTGAATTTGGTTCTGAAGTCTCAAAGCCTGGAACATTTTTGAAAAAATTGTCATGGATCAAGAGCCAGATAATCAAAATTTGAACTATTACCGGCTCTTGATTCCTTGGAAAACTCTCCTGAAGCCGATCAATAGCCGGTAATAGTCAAAATTTGAATTATTATCGGCTCTGGATTCGCTAGACGATTTTTTTAAGGGCAGTCGAGACTCAAGAGCCAATAATAATCAAAATTTCAATTACTCATTAGCAGCTCTTAAGTTGTTATTAATCGAAAGTTCTTCTTCTGCAACTTCTAATTGGCTCTGGAAGAGGAATTATCCAATAGATCAAGATCCACATGTTATCAAAATTTGAACTATTACCGGCTCTTGATTATCTGGAAAACTTTCCTGAAGCCAATCAAGAGCCGGTAATAGTCAAAATTTGAACTTTTATTAACTCTGGATTCGTTAGACAATTTTTCTAAGGGCACTCAAGGCTCCAGAGCACATAATATTTTATTTTTTATTTATTTATTCAATATACGGGTTCACCCCTCTATTACAAAATATGACTACTACTATAATTACTATATTTACTAACAGAATTAAAAAAAAAAAATTAAAACTAACAAGATCAACAAAATTTCACAAAACTCACTAAAGATTAAAATATAGTATCAGTGGTGTGATTTATACAAGTTAACACTAACACTAAGAGACAGGTACAATGTAGGTTCCCTTACAAAAAGGCACCAAAACGTCACCCCTTTGGGGAATTACAATTACAAGATGGGATTGAACTGACGGTGAAACTGTGGAAATGAAATTCCAGTTACCTGAAAATTGTGAGTATTTACATTTACTAGTCTAGAAAATCTAGATAAAGGGCTGTTATATGTATAGTTGCTAGAATGACATGGAATGTGAAACAAATTGGTACTATGAGTGTTCCATGAAGAAACCTTGAAGCATATCTGTTTGAGTGGATCCTGACAGTCTATATCACCAGACACTAACTTGAAAATGGTACAAAGGTCACAATTCGATCAGACTTGAGACTATTAATAGATAGGATGTTTCGCATATCTTCATACGTCCATTGATTTCGAGGAATTTGGGGTCTGAATCCACAATAACATAAAAATTTATTTTGAACAGATTCAAGCCTAGCTGTCTCTATGTATTTGATAAATAGGGGTCTAGACTGGAGAGGCATAATTTAGTATACTTTTCATTTTCACCAAAGAAATATATAAATGACGTACAATTGGAACAGAAAAATCAGAACAGTTATGCAAAACAAACTCCAGCCTAGTGAATGCCCTGGATGATAGCGCATTTATGTGAGGATCCAAAGACATTTGGCTGTCGAAAATAACTCCCAAATCAGGAATGTTGTCTACTCTATTAAGAGATGAATTATCTATATTAATTGAAAATTATTGGACTTTTACTTCTCTATGGTCATTACTCTTGGACCACCCGTTAAGCATATTCAGGTCGTGCTGGAGATTAAAACAGTCATCGACATTATTTATCTCTGAGTATATTTTGAGGTCATCAGCAAAAAATAAAGCCTTACAGAAAGTAAAGCATTTAGTTAAGTCCATTATGAATAATACAAAAAGTAATGGGCCCAAATGAGACCCTTGAGGCACACCTGATGTAGCTGAAATTTCTCGTGAACAGAAATTATGAATTTTTACTAGTTGCACTCGTCCTGACAAATAACTTTTAAGCCATTCTAATAAGTATGTGGGAAACCCCATTGCCTTGAAACCCCATTGCCTTTAGCTTTGCCAGCTTGAGTGGTTAACACGATCAAAAATAATCTGTATATATCTATTTGTGACAAAGTTACCCAATGATGAAAGAATGTCTTGCTTGTAGACCAAAAGGTTACTCACAGTTCACAGTAGATCTTTAGGGTACAAATCCATGCTGAGATGGATCAATAATACTCCTACAATGCCACTGTAGATAGGGTATTAGGAGCTTTTCAAAAAGTTTAGGAACCGTCGACAAAATACTTATTGGCCGATAATTCTTAATATCATGTCTGTCCCCAGTCTTAAATATTGGCAAAACGTAGCTAGACAACTAAACTACTGGAAACTTTTGTGTTCTGATAATGATTTAATAAACAAAAAATGCAGAGGCTTAGCAAGGGAATAAACACATTTTCTTAAGAAGAAAGGTAGTAGCTTGTCCGGACCTGATCTGAGTTTGTTAGGCAATGATTGTATTCCAACGAACACCTCCTGTAAACTAAATTTTATTTGCCCGATATTCACAACTTCAGTTATATTAGTATCATTATTATTAAAATCAATGTTAGAGTTATCACTATACCAGTTTGAAAAATGAGTAGCAAAAAGATTTGAAATATCAGAACCGTTCGATCGAAACTGTCACATTGTTGAGATTCATGGTAGAGGGAATGCCGCTTATTGACCTTAATGAATTAAATCATTTCCAAAATCCTTTAGGGTCCGTATTTATATTCTTCTCAGTATTAGCTATATAATCCTATGGCATGTATCAGATACCTAACTGTTTACACCTAGCTCGAAGATTACTAAAATGTAAATAATCATTTTTATTATTAGATTTCTTCGAGGGGTTTTTCACCTAACAAAATTTGTACACCGATTAACAGTACTAACTGAGATATTTCCATGTATTAACAGATGTACCTAATAAAAAGTTATTGCCAACTATTTCCATGTATTAACAAAATATTTCCACATATTTCCACATATTGCCAGGTATTTCCCTATATTATCACATATTACCAGGTATTGCTATGCTATTGACAGACTAAAATCAAATATTTGTCTTGCCAGAATTCTAGGTATTGACATATTCACAGGTATTTACATGTTATTAATGGGTATCAACCAATGACATTAACATATATTGCCGAGATATCTACAAGTATCGACATATATTACCTACATAATTAACAAGTAGGTATTGAATAGTATTGACACTATTGACATATTATTTACCTGGTATTGACATATATTAACCAGTGATTTGTACACCGATTAACAAGGTGAAAAACCCCTCGGATTTCTTATACTGGGTATGAACTGCCTTTTTATCTCTAACAAGCTGTCTTAGTTCCCCGGTGAACTATACAGGAAAAGACGAAGAGGTTTTTCTCTTAAGAGGAACAAATAGGCTGAGAGCCTGTTTTAATATTGCATAAAATTTTTCGGTTGCAGTCACTATTTCCCTGCAGTACTAATTCCCAATTTATAGGACCCAAAAAACTATTAATTCCAATATAGTCAGCTCTAGCAAAGTCTCTAAAAAACTCCAAGAAATACAGTTCTTCGTTCTCCCAAACTTAAAGTGTGCAGCAGTAACTCCTATGATGATAACTATCAGGAAAAAAGGCATCATCAGCTATGTTGATGCAAAAATCAGAGTCCCCAGAGGAAAAAATTGAATCCAAATATTTGTTGTGCGGGTTTGGGATATGATTCTTATGTTTTAGGCTGAATAAGCAAAAGTTGTCACAAATTGTATCTGCAAGATAACACTGGGACATTGATTGTACTAGCTAGCTGTGAGGACAGATTATAGTTACCAAATAAATGAACGGGTGAACAAGAGTAATTGCGAATTATGTTTTCCACCTCGCTGCAATGGTTAGCATAGGTTTCACTAGGTGAATTTGGTGGAATATAAACTGCTCCTAATATTAATTTCACCTTACCAAATATTAGCTGAATGAGCAATGAAGTCAACATGTTTTTAACACGTGACGTGATTCAATAAGTGAAATTTCCATTACTCATTAGCAGCTCTCGGATCGATATTAATCAAAATGTCTTCTTCCGCAGCTTCTAATTGGCTCCCTATCGTATCAGTGATCATTAAATTTACCAAAAAAACATCCCCAATGATTATACATTATTGCATTTGATTTGGATTCAAGTGGATTCAACCTCAAGTACGGAAATTTTAAGTTATTCAGCCACAATTCTGATAAACCTGTAGTCCTGTACAGGGTGGCCCATTTTCGATGTTTTAATAGGCTATATCGAAAACTAGCAGAGATATCAAAAATCTGGAAGCACATTCTCGAGCTCTTTTTTTGAGAAAATAACAATGGCGAAGACAAATCACGGCTAACTTGATGCGTTTAGGAAATACAGGGCATTTTTCAAATTTTGTCCAATTTTAAAAGACTCTCTAATTTCCTTATTATTTAAGATATCCAAAAACGAAAAATACTTTCTAGAGGCAGTTTTTTAAGGAGAATCCAGTGGCATAGTCAATTTTTCTACCTTCTATAGTTTTGGAGAAAAAAAAATTAATTCCGTTTTTCCATAAGAAACAATGAACTAGAGAGAGATAAGTCATTATAGTTATTTATGTATCAAGGGTACTAAGTAGATGATTATGCCCTGCACGGGCATAAACTAATGAATTATGTAGATGTAAGGTATAAAAACACAATAATGTATTGGTATGACATAAAATAAATT